AGGTTAAAGGGTATAAAAATAAAATATACTCCATATAATTAATTTTAATTAATTGTCTATTTTCTTTTTCATTCTACAAAATCTATATATATAAAACTATAATATACAATAAAATACACATCAACCATTTTTTACAAATACACATTAAAGAAATTTTCTCAAATAATTCTTAACTTACTAAACCACTTAATATTTCCTAAAGAAGGCAAAGATTCTTAATACAATATAAAATATCATTATTACATAATTATTTTTTATTTCTCTGTACCATAATCCCTCCAGCTATCAAGATGCCAAAATATCCACATGGTCCAAGTAAGAATTCTAAAACTTTGTATCCATTTTGGTTGCAGGTTGTCAGCTCAAGCAACTGGAGCGAACCCTTACAGTTGTATGTTAAGCACATGACTTAGATGTAAACTGAATAACTAATTTGCTACTTGGCGGGCCAAGTTAGTTAGAACCTATTTCTATTTCTATTTCTGTTCCTTTCCGACTATCTAATTTAGTATTAGTAGGAATTGTAACAGCTAATGAGTCATACGAGAAATTCAAATATCAATTCAAATTTTCCTCTCTACTCTCACTCTCCCCCTCTTTCTCTCTTTTTCTAGACTTCCTCGTCTCTCTCTTATTTTTCTCCTCTCTTCTCTCCTTTCTCTAATTGAACATTGACTGCTGTGGTTCAACTCATGAAGCCTAAATGACCAAGGCTCTTTACAAAGTGGCATTAGAGTACTCGAATTCCGAGGCAACACAACCTTCTATATTCCCAATGATGAGATTCAAAGGAAAATCGGTGCTCACTGAGCATCATCAATTCCAGCAATCAGATGGATCTAACAAAGACGTTAATTAGAGGCTGACAGAGTTTATCACTGAAATGCACGAGTCACAAAGGCAAACCCAACAATAGTTTGACCAAATTGTTAAAATGTTGCGCAATAATGTGCAGGGTACTGAATCGAGTAGTCAGGTAAGTCCTCAACCACCTCCTATTCAATCGGATAAAGGAATGTAGCCAACGCCAACATTGCTACGAGGCTGGGATAGCAATACTCAGGGCCGAGTGCGAAGCGTTAATAACTTTTCGTAGCCCAAGGTTGAGATACCCATATTCGAAGGTAGCGACTCGAAAGCTTGGTTTTGAATGTGCCTTACATATTTTCTGTGAATGAAACTCCTGATGAACAGAGAGTGAAGACTGCCTATTTACTCTTGAACGAAATTGCAGATATGTAGTACTAGGAGTGTTAAGCTAAGAACAAAATATTAGAATGGGAAGTGTTTATAGATAAATTATGTAGAAGGTCAGAGGAGTTAATAAAAGAGATTTCATAGAGGAATTCAATAAGCTTGCTCAAGTTGGTATTGTTCTAGAGTACCAAGAACAGTTTGAACATTTAGGGACCTTCATGATGACTGATAAAGCTACTTTTTCTAAGGCGGTTCTTTTTTTTTTCTAAGTTCATCAATGGTCCTAAACCAGAATTACAACCTATATGATAAAGTTGCTAAAAACACAATTCTTTCATCAAGCCTTTAAGTAAGATTTGCTTAATGAACAATCAATAATTGAAACTGCTTTGGGAAGAGCTCATCCTATCCTGCTCCAAATTAGACAGCCATAAATTTGGCCGAGCAAGAAGGATAAGGAAAAATCTGAGTACCCAATCAACAAGTACAACCAAAAAGAATAGGACACAAAAAGGAGCTCCTCGACTTACTTCTGACGCGGAGATCAATATTTTTCATGTCATAAGTGCAGAGCGAAAACAATGATGGCTATGGAGGAACCAGAAGAAGTTGAGAACCTCGATGATGGGGGACAAGAGGAAGGTGAACAATTGAGCTAGAAAAAAATACAGAAACTCTATCCTTCCAAGCAATAGAACAGGTTGTAGCGGGAGCAACTCTCAAGGTCAGGAGAGTTTTGGAAGGCCACCATATAGTAATACTCCTGTATGATAGAAGTTCTCCTCGACATGAACACTATTAAGTTTATCAAAAACAAATTCTTTAATGAAAAGCTGTCTACGGTTATGGTAGCTAATGGCCAAAAAGTTATTAGCAGAGAAGAATCTTCAGATGTGACTTAGATAATGCAAGGATATTGTTTTCGTTACAATTTCATAATCATTTGATTCAGAAGCTCCGATAAGATATTATGAGTGAATTAAATGAAACAGTATAGTTCTATAGTTTTTGACTTTGCTAAATCTACAATAAAATTCACTTACAAGGATATGCTAATCACCCAAAATGGAGCAGAAAGAAAGATTGATGAACACTACCAAAGGCAGTGGGTGAGGAAGCTCCTTTAGACAGAAACAATCTATTAAGGATATGGCAATCTCATTCTCTAAGGATATGGTGACAAAGTCGCTACCAGGTTACCAAAATCTTCTAGTGCTAGAAACCTAGATGACAGAAGGAAATCAAGAACAATTAAAGTCACTCCTGGCCACTTACAGTGATATATTTAGAGAACAAACTTACAACCTCACTGACCGTATGATCATGTCATTCCCCGATATCTAACTCCACTCTGGTCAACATAAGGCCATCATCATGCCTTCTCTCAAAAGAATGAGATTGAAAGGCAAGTCTCAAGACGATGAATTACTTACCTATAATAGACCATTCTCCTCAATGGCTCTGTTGGTCAAGGAAATTGATGAAAGGTGGAGATTTTGGGTGTACTACAGTGAACTCAACTCACTTACAATGAAAGATAAGTTTTTCATTTATATCGTTGATGGTTTACTGGATGAACTTGGGAGAACTGCTGTATTTTTCAAAATCAACTTGCGGACAGGTTACCACCATATTAGAATAAAGGAGAAGGATCTATATAAAACTGCCTTCAGGACACACCATGGACACTTTAATTTCAAAGTAATGTCCTGTATTTTAACTAATGCTCCAGCCATCTTCCAAGCCTTGATGAACCATGTATTCCAAGATCGCCTCCAAAAATGTGTGTTGGTTTTCTTTGACGATATACTAATTTACAGTCTCAATGTGCAAGAGCATTTTGAGTAATTGGAAAATGTCTTGACCTTGTTGAGGAAACACCAATTATTTGCTAAAGAGGCAAAGTGTTCCTTCTTGTAACATGAGATAGAGTACTTGAGTCGTCTAATTTCTCATCAGGGTGTTAGAGGCAGACTTGAGAAAAATTGAGTTCATGGTTAGCTAGCTACAAACCCATATCAGTGAAGTCCACAGCATTTCCTTGGCCTAACAGGCTATTACCGAAATTTCATTCTGCAACTACGGGATTATCAAGAAATCATTCACCTATTTGTTTAAAAAGAATGCATTCAATTGGTTGAGGTACTCATAGACGTATTTCAGCAACTCAACAAATCAACTCTTTCTCTTGCACATGATACAATGTTAATTTCTAATCCAATTGTCTTGTAAGTAAGAGTCCACTAGAGTTATCATCATCCTTTAAACTTTTTCCAATCAGAAAGTAGCTTAATAGTCCATATTGAACTAGTGATGCATTGGCCTTTAGAATTTCTTGAATCCTCATATACATTGACAATTCAAACACCTGCATCATATGGCCATATTTCCTTGTTTTCCATACTAACAATTAGTAAACATAAACACAGACAACCACCATTATATCCATTCACATGATACATCTTTCCTGCCTGCTCAAAACATTCAAGTTGAAGTAAACAAGCATGACAATTAAGCTTAAATGCAATTGGCAATGGAGTAAAAGACCATAATGGTAAAAGATTAGAGGTCACAGGAAAAGATAATCCACAAAAAGTAGGTATGTTACACTTTCAAGATTCGGAATGTACCTGATCATATATAATGGAGGCCTTATCAAATCTTTTTCTGGCTTCCTGCACAAATTGTTAAAAAATGAACAACGATAAACATAATATTCAATAAGCAACCATAAAATCAAAATAAGCAAATATTACAAATAAAGAAGAAAGTTACTTTAGGTATTGTGTGAAACAGCATTAAAACATGTTCGACAGTGCACAACCTTAATCTCTTTAATATGCCAAAAATCCTTAACGTTGGAACTTTATAAACGTAGTTTTTCAAATCAAATGTGATGAAAATCATAGGTACCATTTGTCTCAGCTATATTTATGTAGTCTTCTAATTGTTTGTAGCTGTGGCAGGTGCTTTGCTCTAGCATGACCTACATAAAACTAATGAACGTTTTTTTAGCGTTACTGTAGAGAGCTATTGATGTAAAATTACCAAATACCGGTACATGAGATTTTTGGTCAGCCTGTCAGAGACTTTGGTCTTATTCCAATCTCAATGACAGAGAAGTGGATAATATATATGTACTGTTGGACTTGTAAATGTGGAATTTAGAGAGAGTGAATTTCTTATATATTGAGAATGAGCATATACATGAGGATATTACAACTGCTAAGAAAAAATCAAATCAAATCTCCATATCAGTGGGATTTCATATTTTTAGGAAGATTAATTTTCTAATATTAAGATGGAAGATTGAGAGATTTTTCAACAGTGAATTTAGTGCAAGTGTCTTTTGACTTGTAGAATTTGTTTAGGTTTGTGGGTAGGGATTTGTTTCACTTTTCTAATAAAGAGTGGTTTTGAGTTCTTCATTAGCTTCTTATTCTTAATACAACTGTCATTCAATTCCTGAGGTCTATTACCCATTTTATCCTCTCTCTCTCCCAACATCAGTACGTATTTACAAATAAAAGAAAACACAGTACCTTTACATCTTGCAGATCAACATTCATAAAGTGTAGCAGTCTATCGTTTAGCATATGCTCTACCTGAGAGGACCAACTAAAAAGGTCAACATATGTAACTGACTAAAACTTCTTATAATATTTCATAAAATATTTCTGGGGAGAACAGAATTTAGACGTGCATGTTCTGATTAAGGGAAAAGAAACTAACTCAAGGGCACATCTTTCATACAACAAAAGCCAAAAACCACCAAGAACAAGTAGTAAGTTATCATAGAAATGGTATACGAATCCATTTATTTCCTTTTTCAGACATGGTGAACAATACAAACTCTTGCAATGAGAGTTAAAAGTTATACAGCAACCAGCCTTGTTCTTCTTTAACACAAGATATCCAAGACAATGCAAAAATAAGCCACCATCTGATTTCTTTCTTATCAAATTATCCAAAAAGTAGCAAAAGGAATAAGACTTAGAGTCCTGTTAAAGCGCTTATGTCTATTAATGTCTTTCCAAGCCTAGAGTCCAGAGTTCTTCCTTCACTTATCTGGCCATCATCTGATTTCCCGTATATATATTTAGTATAATCATGATAGACTTCATTTTTTGCCAAAATGCTGGTACTTACTATCAAAATATAGTTAAAGAATCTATTGGGTTTACCTCATCAGAAACATAAACCATATGAAAGATAAAGCCTGTTTAAGAGTCTATTATTACCACATAAAATGCCTCCACCATGGACATAGAAATGACACTTTACAACATTGAATTCAATCTTAGGGGACCTTGCTACAGTAATAAATTCCTTCCACTACTATTTAGAATTTAAAAAATACATATATATAAAGCCTAAATTCACGGGGACACTTGATGAGAGGATATAGCCATTAAGTGTCCCTAATGGGCTGAACCATTTGAAAATGATTATGTTCTTGTGTTTGATCTTTATTTCTTTTTTTGTTTGTAAACTAGATTTATCTGTGAAAATCCAAGCCAACCCCTTTTTGATTATTATAGATAAGTGAGATAACAGAAGCCATGAGATTTACTACCTGTGACCGAAGAACTTCTTTGTATGTCCCAATTTCTCTCAAAGCAATTGTGAATTTGGTCATAACAGGCCCTGAGAGAATAAATGAATTCATCAGCACCAAGAGTAGATCATTAGGTTGTTTGAATTTTATTAATACGGGAAACCACCATGAGATATGTGTGATAGCATGTGCAATAACTTGAGAAACTATTGCTTGCCATGTTAAGCGAGAAAGTGAACAGATTTGCCAATCTGAAAATATAAAGTATATGAGCTCAATTACTTGCATAGCCAGCCTAATGGAGCAAGCAAAATTGCATGTAATATCACAATAATACATCTTCATGAGATATCTTGGCCACAAATTTGATCACTAATAACAAAATTTTAAGAGACTAAGCACAGTTTTGGACTTGAGGAATATGCAACCATTGACACTCGAGATTAGTTTAAGATCATTCTGCAACTGAAACCTGCTACAAAGTATAGATAATCCATATGATCATGGCTCCTAGCTACATCCACATCTTTAAATCCACTGAATCAGAAGAATATTATTCATGCAACAGCAAATATAGAAAGAAAACATCATTCATGTGCTCTCTATTCAACCCTGTCAAGCCACCATGTTATGTGAATCACTGAAATCAAGAATGAAAAAAGGTGGACATCCCTCTACATCAAAAGAAACGGTGGTCAATTACAAGGAAGAATGTATGTCCAAATTCCTGACAATCGAAATTTCTAAGAACATAAAGAGCACAATAAGAAATTGCACAAACAACTGCACAAAAGGACTAAAGATATAAGAAAAGTAAACATAACATAGATGAGATCACTCCACTTCTGTGCCCCACTCTAATCCGGTGAGCTAAATATTCTCAGATTTCTTTAAAAAAGAATCTATAATTAAGATACTCATAAATCACCTCAAAGGGAGAGAGAGGGAAGATACATTGAGAGTGAACAAAAACTTATACCTCCAAAAGCAACACAAATGGGATCATTATGGCCTCCTCCAAACGTTTCAAGGGCATTTACAAAGGCAATGTCTCCATCATATCCTTCTCCAAGCCCTTCCCTGATAATTAGAAAGAACTGAGTGCCCATGATCACTTGAGAACAAGATGCCTATGTTAAGAATAATTTTATTATCTTCAGTATAATGGTCAAGAAGTAAAATGATTGTACTGGCACTGAGGGATTGTTGATTATAAGTAACGAGAATGACAAGCCTCATATAGTCAGTTCAATTCTAACTTAAAGTTACATGATTTTTCCTTGCCTATGTTAAGAATAATTTTATTATCTTCAGTATAATGGTCAAGAAGTAAAATGATTGTACTTGCACTGAGGGATTGTTGATTACAGGTAAAGAGAATGACAAGCCTCATATAGTCTGTTCAATTCTAACTTAAATTTACATGATTTTTCCTTGCCTATGTTAGGAATAATTTTATTATCTTCAGTATAATGGTCAAGAAGTAAAATGATTGTACTGGCACTGAGGGGTTGTTGATTATAAGGGGTTGTTGATTATAAGTAACGAGAATGACAAGCCTCATATAGTCGGTTCAATTCTAACTTAAAATTACATGATTTTTCCTTGACTAATTTCCATCTCTTCATATTTGGCTTCTGGACAGCTTAACATAGAGATGCTTACATAGAGGATAGATATCATTTACCATTTATGGAAGAAAACGCCCAGTAACCAATGTATAATATATATCAAGCAGCTTCTATATTCCTGTGAATTACTTCCTCTTAGAATGTATAAACTAATAAAAGTGAGTCGTTTTCTATCAGCTTAAGCTTTTAGAAAACTAGTAATCAAATTCTGCTATTTTACATGCCAGATGTCAAGTTTGACTCTTAGCTGCCCCGTTTATATATCAAAATAATAAATTAATTAATTGAGCAGAAGATATGGTAAGTATATACTTTTTCCAAGCTGTAAATTCAGTGGCCTCACAAGTGAAGCAGTGTGTTGAAGTATGGTAAACAGTTAAGTTAGGTATTTCCCATAGTTATTCTTGAAATTCCTCAACATTCCATCCCTAGCACCACATTAAATATGAATTAAACTATTTACATTGCTTACTATCTGTTTGATATTTTATCCCAAAAAGAAAAATATATTATGTTTGATAAAGCGTTAAGCCCTTAGGAATGGGAAACAAAAGTTTTGCCAGCTGTGGCAATTTGCATTTCTTTTCCGGCAACAGTAACATGCTTCGCACTGAGACTTCAACTAGTTAAGGCCTATCTTAATGTTTCTATAACATGCCAGATCATGCAGAATCTGCTGATTTCTGTAACTAAAAGGTACTCTTCTCTCGCCTTGTAACCTCAGCACATTATTTTGGGCACTTGAAAAGAATCAAAGTGAGATATTTCACAACTAACTCCCAGCATTCCAGATCAAAACTTTAGTTAGAAGCTCAAAATTTTTAGTTTGGATGGTAGAACATACACATGGATTTAGTTTGGATGGTACAGCCTATATTTTCCATTTTGTAAGCCTTGTCCAAAAGTTAGAATTTTCCAGTTAGAAGATTGACGGTCATTTTTCTGCCAATATCCACACTTAAATTTACATCTTAAACAACTTGATGAAACAAATGAAAGGAAAAGTAAGGATAATGATGACATACGTGTACTTTCGACATCCTTTATAAAATTTTAAACATCTTGCCCTCAATAATTCAGCACATTCTTCCAAGCATTGTATCTACTCCATGAAAAGTACAATAAACTTTAAGTCAGTGCCCAGAACAGATTCTACGAACATGCTATACTAAATAGATTGCATTGCAGGAAATTGGTGCAATTTTTAAAGTAGAACAAGTAAGCTACATGTATAACACTATAGTGAATATTCACATCAAATTATATAGATTGCATGAAAAAGAGAATAATGCCCCTTAAATTAGACAATTAAAATGCAGTCATTTCATTCAATAACCAACCCATCTTTCTGACTTCATGAAGATGAACATGCATATGTATAAGCTAAAAAACCTATCAAACATTCATGTAGAATGACATCAGATCAAAAGAGTTGGTGAATAATAACTTTAACTGTATTCTTAACATTAGCTTGCATCGTGGATGGTGCTAGGAATCTGAAAATCATGCTATTTGCCAAAATGCGTCAAAGAAACAAGGAATTTATAGTCCATGTTAAGTCAGATCAAAAGAGTTGGTGAAATAATAATCTTAACTGTATTCTTAACATTAGCTTGCATTGTGGATGGTGCTAGGAATCTGAAAATCATGCTATTTGCCAAAATGCGTCAAAGAAGGAAGGAGTTTATAGTCCACGATAAGTCTGGCCTAGTTTTAGGATCAGGTGTTCCAGGTGTTTCTTTATGAGTTTGCCAATTTCCTTGGCAGTTGAGTGTATTGCAGTGTGTATTTAAGATAAGAAATAAGATAAGGGTAGGCAGTTCCTAAGTTTTAGAAAAACCAGAAACCACTTCTATCCTTTCATTATAATAAATTCCATGTCTAATTTCTAGAGGGGACATGAAAGAAATTAATCAAAGTGTTAAGTATTTACTTACTCGGAAATCATTGCATTCTCTCTTAATGCGCCCATAATTTATATTCATAATAGACAAAGGAGGAAAACCATGACACATTTTTTTTATTATGTAAACCAACTCAGAACTACGTCCTTAGAACTCTACCAGTTTGCCTTCCATTGCCAGTATAATAAAACTTCATTTTCACCACCAAATTGGCAAAGGTCAAGAAACCAAATGAACCTATACATTGGCAACGCCTCAGCATTGAAATAAAAGATCTTGCCTATTGAGTAACAAGATACAAGATTCTTCAATTAGCATTTGAAATAAAAGACTCTTGCTTCCTTGACGACCAGGTGAAGACAACATCCCTTCAAGCATAAAGCCATCTTAAACAATTGTCTTGCCAATACAACAACTTCAAAATACGAATGGCAATGAATGACAGAAGTCATAGGTATTTCTTGTAATCTTTGGGTGTGTTGAGATACAGTACCTAAGGTCTGGGCTAGAAGGCTGCTTCTCTCAGACATAGGAAATGAACCCGTTAGAGTTCTTATGATGCACTGACGATTTAAAGGAGCTTCAAGAAGATTGAGGTCACCCATGATATGTCAACGATTGTGCAGACTACTTGTATGTTTTATTATATCGTAAGACAAATACTTACAACAAACGTAATGAAGTTTCAGAAAGGAAAACAAAAAACAAAAAAAAAAAACAAAAAACAAAAGAGCAAAAAACTTACATGACAAGTCAAATGAACAGGAGATGATGCATGATAACATTTGGAAAATAAAAAGGCAATCAAGCAGTAATGCCGCACGATTATGTAAAAACAGCGACCAAGCAGAAACAAGTTAAACAGACACCTTTCCCATATATCAGCTACAAAAGAAAAAGAGAAAAAAGAGAAACAAAAGACTAATATAAAGAATCGTCTGCATTCAGATCTTCAAACATGTCGCAGGCACCATCCATTTACGTGAAATTTATAAGCGTTATGAAGCAATATATCCTGATCAATAATTTTCACTCAAAGACCCAATATAAAATATGAGCAACCTGTTGCCGAAACATCGGCGAATCATCGAGTTTCGCCAACTGCATTTTGATGGAGTAAAATGGAAACCCTCTCCTTCCCTTTCTTCGTCGTCCTTTAGAGAACCGAAATCAACAGTGACTGTGAAAGAATTCTTGTGTTTGTATTTTTCTTTTTTCTTTTTTCGTTTTTGTGTTTTCGGTATTTGGTCCGTAAAGTCAGCGGAAATAGAGGAAAAATGAGCGATGCTGAGTTGATACTGCTTTATTGTTAAAAACCTGTTTGGAGCTTTCATGGCGGTCAAATTTGAAAAAAAAAAAAAAAAAAAAAAAAAAAAAAAACCAGAGAGAAGAAGAAAAAGAAAATCCACCCGCCTTTTTCTCTTCCCTCGAGTCAGTTGGGTGTTAAAACGAGTTTAGTCAGAGCCGAAGGTAATTCCAACCAAACACAGTTCGCCGAGTCCCCATCACTGTGAACCGTCCCTTTCGCCTAATGAAAAATCCAGGGTATTTTGTTCTCGAAGATTCATTCAGGAGGGACACGTATGTTAACCTCATTTTTTAATTAGTTTCAGTTAAACGTAAACAATGAAGAGGAGCTGCACTGGTTTTTTTCTCATTAGAGATTAATCCAGAAAAAAAAAAAAAAAATGTCAGTTGAATAAATTAGATAAAATATTTTTATTATAAGAATAACAATTTTAATGTTTTCATGAAGTAAATTAAATTTCTAAATAATTTCTCTTTTCATTTTGTTTTCAACTTAAATTAATAAATTAATTTTGTTACCACCATCAAATTCTTGAGCAAATAAATTGATTTTATTTTTTAATTGGTATGCATGCATGTACTATCAGAAAAATATAGTTGATTTTTTTTTACAAGAATGTGAATTGAAGTTATCAGATACGCGTTTTATCATCTTTATAAAATCATTTTATAAAATTATTTTTTTTATTACTATAATATTCTTAGTGTGCAAATATAATTAAATAATAAAATGTATGAATTCACTCTGTTTTAAACAATACCTCAACAAACACTATATATATAATAATTAAATTAATATATATATGAATGTGGGTTCCTGACAACTCTTTGCGGATTGACCAGTCAATGAAACTGAAGAAATTAGCCTTAATAAAAATATTAAAAACAGAAAAGCTGAGGAAATTACCTAATGGATGCCCTAAAACTGGCACGTCTTCCTGCGGGCCCATTTCCATATTCCCAAGATGGAATATGCCAAATGCCATTACCCAATTGCTCGCTAAACATGAACGGGCAAGTCAATTTATTTTCCCGGGGAATCTCTCATACTACATACACACGCACACACACACACACACACATATATTTATATCTGTAATATGTAGATTAGCTAAAAAGTGGCGCCTGGAGGATATATATAACACTCAGAAGCATAATGTACTAAAAATATATATAATACTCAAAAGCACTTCACAGGTCCAAACTTCAAAAAGTAGGGAAAGTAGATAGATTAGCTAGCTCTAAGCTATCTCATGAACTTTACCAATTCGTTGCCAAAGAAGGGAAGAAAGCTTCGTCTCTCCCTGACAAATCTTTCAATGCTGCTGATATGTCCACCCACGATAGGCAGGAACAAATTGCCAAAAGTACAAGAAATGATCGGTGATTCCTCGTTCAGGGGACTCTTAATTCCAAACACAACCTAGATATCATTCTAAACAAATTTTCCAGCTTGTTAATTTCAAAATTTTGAAACTCAAAATTCACAGCTGAAAAAAGAGAAAATACAATTAAAAGAATTTCTTAACTTCTAAATTTGAAGTGAAAAGCAGCTGTTGATAATCTTTTTCCTCTCCTTGTTGGTGTAAAAGTTTCTGACTGATAGAAACCAACCCTGGAAACTCAACCCCAGAACCTGCTTATGAAGCCCTTTCTGTCTTTCTTCATTCTGTTCTCGATAGATGGGAACTCAATACAATTAAAAGCAAGATCTAGAACAATGGGATTCCTAGGTATAGGTTGGAATGCTGGAGGGAAGACTTCAATTCGCGGGACAACTTTTACATTTGAATCACCAACAGCAGACTCATACACATCAAGCTTCTCAAGAAGGAATTTCTCCACCTGAAATCGATTATGGTAAGAATGTCAGCGGCACACATCCCTGTAGTCTCCAGGAGCTGAAATAGCTATTATTTGTATTTTACGTTGGAAAGAATAAAGGAAAGCACATCGAACACCAATAGTTTTTAGTACAGTTATGGCTTAGTACCTGCGATCAACAAATTTCAGAAAAGACAAAATTCAAAACAAGTGACCCTATTTTTGAAGTTCCCTGGATTTCTGTCCTTGCCGGAGTATTTTCCAAGCATTTTCAGGAAGGGGACGTAGCAGGAAAAGAAGGACCAAACTTCCAAAATTCGGCATCGAGAATCATCTTAATACATAAATCAAAGGCTAAACTGTCTAAACATCACAATCATTCTTGCCAAAACCTTCCAGATTGCCTACAAAAAGCCACTTCGCATAAGAGGTTCTGAATTTCTGATAATCTAGAAAGGTACATTAACCATCCGAAGACACTTTCAAGTATGAGTGTCCATTTTGGGAAATTTGGAAAGAAAGGAACAACAGAGCTTTTGAAGGAAAGGAAGACACATTTAGCAATATTTTGAACAAATGGTTCCATATCTTTGGTTCCATTGTGTTAGAACATAACATTACCCATTTTGATGATTTGAGGTCAATTGTACATATGTTAATTGACTTGTATATCTTTTTGTACATGAATTGGCGCCCCCTTGGCACCCCATATTAATATATTTCTACATTTTTATCTTAAAAAAAAAAAAAAGAAGTATGAGCGTCCATCTCATAGTCCATCTTTTTTCCTCCCTTTTTCCCTAAGATCCTACACTTTTAGAATCTCTGTTCTAAATGATGATTATCAGATTGATAATTTCACAATTAGAAGTCAAGCTAAAATTGTACCTTCTTGTCTGATCCACTTAGGGATATTGTAGATATTTTCTTTGAGAGATTCTCTGGAGCCTTTTCCTCCTCTATAATTCCCATTGCATGCTCAATGCAACTGTTAGCTCTGCACTCGTTGCATAATGTCTTCAACTCTTTGATCAGCACCTGCCAACCATTTACCCCCACCCAACCAGGAAAAAAAACCAAAAAAGCCATGAAAGGGAAGGGTATGTCAAATAAACAGGCATGTCAAACAATGATTTATAACCAACTTTAAGAAAAACAATATGGACAATACCAACCACAAGAATCATAAAACACATTGGACTTCAGTGCTAAAAGTCATCATCAAAGGAACTACCATATTTCTTGCATGAATCTTAGAAGCGAGCAACAT